CTTGAGCGCAGCTTTGTTTTATTTATACTCATTACAGAGGAAACTAAGTTTATTTTCACTCTACATTGTAAAGTATGAAAATAAAGTTTACACAACCATCTCGCGGGCCGGATTTAACCCACTTGCGGGCCGGATCCGGCCCGCGGGCCGCATGTTTGACACCCCTGCTCTAAGATGTCTGTTATGAACTCGCCTGGAGACGTCAAACTGCTGTCGTAGTTTCAGGCAGATCTGGAAGTATTTCTGCGGAGAGTTGAATCCTTCAACACACGCAGCGCAAGCTCCATGTTTGTACCACTCCTCTCTCCTGTAACACACACACACACACACACACACACACACACACACACACACACACACACACACACACACACACACACACACACACACACACAGGCTCACAATGACATTGTGACATCATATGGTACCAGCTAACGTTCTAGGGTACCTCTTAGCCAATAGCGATGGCAGATTTAAATTGAAATGCAGTGCAGAGTTTTTACCTGACAACGGCACAACACTGCCAGTTTTAGGTAGAACATTTAAATTTTAACTAAAATACACTAAAGTGAAAAACTATTGACAACACGTGTCTGCAGCACGATTAGACACACATTTATATAGTTTATCAGAAAAAAATCTGATTTGGGGGTGACTTGCCCTTTAAGTAGAGCAAATAAACAGGTGATACACCCCCCTCTGAAGGTATAACTAGGAACTACACCTCCTTCTAACTGCTGAATTAGGAACTACATCTCCCTCTGCAGACAGAATACGGAACTACACCTCCTTCTACAGGCAGAAATAGGAACTACAGCCCCCTCTAAAGACAGAATGTGGAATTACACCTTTGGCTTGTGGAGCTCTCGGGAGACCAATGTTTTCCACCCGTTCTCCCCTTCCCGCAGCTCGGTGCATCTCTGTCTGATCGCGGCTTCTGTCTGCTGCGCGGGCTGCCGGCTTGTGGAGCTCTCGGATGGAAACCTTTCCACCCGTTTCTCCCCAGCGGCAGCTCTGCGCATCTCAGATTGCAGAGGCGCTTTTCTGCTGCGCGGGCTGCCGGCTTTCAGCAGCTTTCGGGAGACCTCTGTGTTCCACCCAGTTTTACCCAGCGGTCAGCCCGGCGTATCTCTGACTCAGAAGCTCTGGTGTTGTGCACAGTTAACTCCGGTTGTAGCTAGGTTGCTACCTCCGTTAGCTTAGCTCCCACCTCCGTGTTAGCTTTGGGTTAGCTTCAGGTTAGCTTGTAGCTCGTTCGACTGGGTGTGGTCATTTGATCCCAGTCTTACAGCTCCACCCTCAGCTCCACCTCTCTTGCCTTTTGTGGAATTGTCTGGGCTTGACGGAACCTGTGACACGGTCAAAATGGCGGTGGTGGCCACCTCCCATTTTAGCTCAAAAACGTGTTATTGGAGTCTATGGAAACCCATTGTCCATATATGTATATGTCGATGTTTACAACACTACAGTCATTCACCCATTCTTAGACGGGTGGAGATAAGCTATAATTTGGGGGTGACTTGCCCTTTAAGTAGAGCAAATAAACGGGTGATACACCCCCCTCTGAAGGTATAACTAGGAACTACACCTCCTTCTAAGTGCAGAATTAGGAACTACATCTCCCTCTGCAGACAGAATACGGAACTACACCTCCTTCTACAGGCAGAAATAGGAACTACAGACCCATCTAAAGACAGAATGTGGAACTACACCTTCTTTTATGGGCAGAAATAGGAAATACATCACTCTCTAAAGGCATAACTAGGAACTACATCCCCCTCTACAAATAGAATACAGAACTACACCTCCATCTACAGGCAGAAATAGGAACTACACCTCTCTCTAAAGGCATAACTAGGAACTACACCTCCCTCTACAGCCCCCTCCACGGGCAGAATTAGGAATTACACCTCCCTCTACAGGCAGAATTAGGAACTACACCTCCCTCTGCAGGCAAAATTAAGTAACTATAAGCATCCTGTAACATACCAGAACTGGAACTGGGTTCTGGTCTTCAGTAGTGATGGCCAATATTCTGTGAGATCCGTCTCCAGCTCCTGGATGACATGAAACAAGCTTCCATCAGACCTTCTGCGGTCAGATGTTGTTCAGGGTCAGCTGATTGAAAAAGTCACCTCAACATCAGAGTGAAACATGGGCCAGCAGCTGCAGCAGTACTGGTCTCGAAGAGGCCTGTTGACCACAAACAGAAGGCAATCACAAGAAGTTAGTGAATAAAATAAATAAATATGTGCTGATGTTTTAATTTGCAAAATTAGGAAGGTGTGACTGGATGTGATTGTGTCAGTACCAGAGGCCATGGATGGTCCAGTTGTTGATGCTCTGAGCAATTCGGCAGTGGGTTTCATTGTACAAGGACTGAATGTCAAAGGAAATAATAACCTGTTTATATTGTTATTATTGTGTTATTAAACATCATCATCATCATCAGCAGCAGCAGCAGCTCACCTGACAGAACCCTCCTGGCCACTGCTGAGTG